TAAATTTGAATTATTATTATTATAAATTCGAATTATTGTTCGCTTCCATTTCGGTCAACCGCGCAAGTTAGTTATTAAAGAAATGTCGTATAAAAATAGCAGATTTGGTTTGCTTTTGAATACGGCTTCATCGAGTGCGCAATAAAGACCGAGGTATAAATACTTGAAAGAAATATGTGTTGAGTCAAATCAGCTTTTTGTTAATGCGGTTATTGCGTAGGTATAAACAAGGTAACTGACGCGAAGTGAAAAAGGCTGGTTTTCTTTATACAGCCCGTTTTAAATTTGAATTATTATTATAACAAATTTGAATTGTTGTTCGTTTCCATTTCGGTTAGCCACGCAAATTAATTATTTAAGAAATATCGAATAAAAATAACAACATTTTGTTTACTTTTCACTACGGTTTCTGCGAGTGCGCTTTAACGACACAGGTATAAATGTTTGAAAGAAATATGTGTTGAGTCAAATCAGTTTTTTGTTAATACGGTTCTTGCATTGGTATAAACAAGGTATATGATATACAGCATTTATTTATTTACAAAGGTTTTAACAGACAGAATAATGCAAACATTTTAATTTTTTCTGATATTCATTTTAGGTATTGAATATTGGCAGCTTATTCATCGCAAGTCGACAATTGGGTTTTCAACCAAATAATAAACCTCTGATATAAGGCGACACTAATTCAAATGATACGTATTGCACAGGAACTTCTATATCATCAACATTGAAAGTCCAAGTGCCGAATTTTATGGTGGAGAGAATATAAACAGCTAGAAATAAAATGGCTGAAGCCGAAGGAGGCTCGGAGCAGGACGACGTTTCATTTTTGCGAACGGTGAGTAATAACTATCAGGGATGCCGTTTGGATCTAAATAGATCCAATTGGATACATTTTTAGACGAATTTTTGCGGGATACTTATTTTTTCCGGTCAGTATAAATGTGGATACTTTTTTAAATAGGCCAAAATTTTATATTTTCTATAAAGTTTTTTTCGTTCAAAAATCGATTTTCATTAAAGATGGTAGAAAGCATTACGTTTTCTGAACGTATGAAGAATCGCTACTTAAGCGTGAAATTAACGCATTTTATTTTTTGTGAACGAAGCAATGAACATATGAAGAGATCTCACCAATATAGGTATAAGCGCAATTGCTTTAATTAGCTTAAAGTATGCTTTAAGCAAGATCTTAATATACATATCGTCGCTTAAAGTACAAAACCGCGTATCAACAAAAAGCAAAACCGCGTATGTGACGTTGCATAAATTATTTTCTAGAGTAAAAACACTTATATTTCAAAATGGTTCTCTTTTTTATAAAGCAATCGCATTTCTGGCTAGTATATTTCAGGACGAATGGATAAGGATTGAGCCAAGAGCTTGTGTGAGCAAATCCAATTTTTGGCAGCAAATGTCAGTTACGCGGTTTTGCAGAATGACGATACGCGGCTTTGTACTTTAAACGACGATATACATATGTATATAAAGTAAATTATACTCTTTCTGTAGTAATCTCTTTCATATCACATATTTTCATTTGTTAATTTTAACTTTTATTTATTTAAGGAGACTTTTATGAATTTTACTGAAAAGACTTTGAATACACTCTAAAAAATTTTTGTTTATTTGCGCATATTAAGAGAGGTAACCAGTTTCCTCTTTTAATGTGGGCAAATTCGCACGCCGTGTAATAAAATTAATCATTGCCTGTTTACTCTTACATACCAAATTTGTCGCAAGAGCAAAATTACTCATAACATGTTTAAAATAAAGTAAATTATTAGTAGGAAATGAGTAGTCCACTTGCAAACAGCGTTATGTGATTTTATAATAGAAAGCCATAAATTTGAAAAAGCGACTACGACAACAAGTAACATTTAAATTGAATCTTTTTTATTATTACCTGAAAATTTGGATAAATAGGAGCCTTATAAAATTGTAACATAACATAACATGTCATAAGATAACATTAACAGTATATACCACCTAAAGCAGCTTTCTAAGTTCATCAGAAGATTGATACTTTTGAAAGTTCATAAATAAGTATGATAGCGACTTTTGGAAGAAGACTTAACATTTGATGCTATTTTTTCAGAATATAAAAAGATTTTGCACTCTGTTGTTAGTGGACTACTTTAAATACTGGTTCATCAGAAGATTGATACTTTTGAAAGTTCATAAATAAGTATGATAGCGACTTTTGAAGAAGACTTAACATTTGATGCTATTTTTTCAGAATATAAAAAGATTTTGCACTCTGTTGTTAGTGGACTACTTTAAATACTGGTACGTAATCCGCCAAAAACTAAGAATCGAAAAAATTTTACATAGCGCACTTTGCAAGTAGACTACTCAAATGTATTTGTAGTTTGAAAATTTTTGCAATTTTAAACATTCTATATATGTGTATTTATGTGTATATTTTAAAGATCTCAAGTTCAAAATCAAATACTGAACATCTTATACGTATATTTATACAGATTTTTGTTGAAAAATAGACACTTTTCAGTAGTAGTTTTACATGCTCTTTTTAGAGCATAGCTGGGCACACCAACACAGTCTCATTTTGTCATGGTATTAGTGCGTCGCGCTCAGTTATGGTTGCTGCATTTTTTATAAATGTACTAAAAGTGGTATTTTTCGTGCATGGGTATTTTGGCCTATTTTGCTTATACCTATAGTGTAATAATGAACCTTGGAAGTTTTTAGTAACTAATACTATTAGTTTATACAACCTTTTGCATAAGAAAAATTTAGTACTTGTATAATTTAAAAAAACTTAAATTAGGTAAACTCATTTGTATAATACCTGGGCTCCGTTTTATTAGAACAAATTCTTTTATATGCTGACCGGCCAGATGGTTACGGTGTTTAGGTCTTATTTTTTAACCAAAAAAGGAGGAGGTTATCAGTTCGTCGGAATCTTTTTTTTTTTTTTTTTTTTTTATGTATGTTACCGCATAAGTTTGGACCACGTCAACCGATTTCGATAATTCTTTTTGCATCGGAAAGGTAGTGTCTCAGAGGTGGTCCCATACTAATCTGGTTAAGATCCGATCAGTGGATCGTGAGATATATATATATATATTTTTTTTTTTATATGAGAGTTGAAGTCGGTTTTTTTCATTGCTAAAAATTACTTGTTTCATATAAGTAGGTATTTAGTCTTAAAAATAGAGTATAACTTATAAATATTATTCATAAAGTATTTTTGGGCATAAACCAGCATTTACATTTCTCTATCGATTTCTTTTGATAAAAAAAATATTATAAAATAAAGTATGCAATGTGTGCCCTAGTGCGTCGCGCTGAGAAGCACTTTTCTATAATTGCACTGAGTGGAGCGTTTTTTTCATTTGTTTATGGTTAATGGTCGTATTACCACACAACAAGCATTGGGCATTATTAGCTTTTTTTAAAACCAAAAACTGTAATTGGCACTCATACTCAGACATTTTGGGCATTGTTACATATATAGGTGGCAACCACGCGCTAAAATTACGAATAAAAATATTCAACGGCGAAGCATAGTGTTACTCTCATGAAATCTGAAAGCAGACTGAATTGAAATTCGCTGCGTCGTTTCTGTATACGTATAAGCGCTGCGACGCAGACGCTACTCGCGAGTAGCGTTTTGCCCAGCTATGTTTTAGAGTGTACTTGCTATTTATTATATTTACTTTGCAAAATACTTATGCACAAAAAATGTACTTTATAAATTGAAATTACAAATGTTTCATTTTATGCACATGTATATTCCAAGTCCTTAAGATGGGTTAAATTATGTCTTTTTCATGAAAATGTTTGGTTTTCTTACAAATTATGAGATGTATATGTAAAAAAAGAAAATTGGATACATTTGGATACATTTTTGGCTTGGTCAGGGATACTTTTTCTTGAGACGTCGCGGCAACACTGATAACTATACACGATGTAGATGACAAAGATGGCGCACTCAGAGCCCCGCTACTTTGGTTTTCCGATTTTCACAATTCTCAAGTAAAAGTAAACATTAATTCTTTTGAATATGTATCTGTTTTTTCTGCGGATTTTTTGATTTTAATCAATCCCCTCCGGAGATCGTCTACAGGGGATCTCCCGAGGAGATTTAAATATATTGGGAAAAGAACGCATCTTCAAGTGTTTTAATACAATAAACACCCTGACCCCGAGCCGGTATTAAAAAGGATTGTTTCATTAATTCTTTTTATAAATCATATATGTATGTATTCTAACAATTTAACACAGTGGATACATTCAGAAGGCAACCGTATTAAAAAAATAATCAGTGATTATTCGTTATGCGCCTTCTGAACGGGTTGATACATTAGCTGTCAACTGTCCAAGGTAAACAAAATATGCTATCTCAAATGATCAGATAAATATTACGATCATCAAACACTCAACAAAGCAATGCATTCAGCAAGTGCAATCGCAACATTTACTGAGCTGCTGCGCCTTCCGAACACGCCCAATTAAACGAAGTTTCCTATAGAAAAATTACATATTAAGAAAATTTACTGTTTTGCCAGTTTCTTTTATCCTGCCATTCGGCTTTGTTTGCTTTTACTTGAGAAATCTCACCGCCGGCGGGAAGGTGCCATGTTGTATTCTAACATTCTTGGTAATTATACTATGAAATGAATTATCCTAAGATTTTTTAATCGCCTTCCACAAAATTTTGCTTCAGTTTTTGATAGAAAATGGATAAACCACCGAAGTTAAACTACCTCAACTGTGTCAATGAATTTTCAATGACAACACAAGAAAAATACTTTGAACCAAGGCGCATCCATATAAGATGGTGGCAATTGGATATACATTAGTAAAAATCAGGATGTCAAAACGAAAGAAAATAGGAAATAATTTTTGGCCAATTCGTTTTGTTGACATCCTAAAGTTACGCCATTTCGTCTTCGATGCCATTCTCCTGTACTAGTGTAGAGACAAAAATATCCAGTATTAAGAATATTCGAAGCATCCTTAAAAAAGATCATAACCTCTGCCTCCTTTGCAATAATTGAATGAAATTTTTTTTGAGAGTTGCAAAATTTACTTTCTTTACAACGAATATATTTGCAAATTTACTGCAATTTTAATAGTAGTGCAAAAAAACTCTTTATTTATTTTAAAGGTTCTAGGCCTGCAATTCCTATCAAATTTTCTCTCAATATGCTCTATACTCTAATTTTCATATTTCAGAAAGAAAAAATGGTATTTTTAACTCTTAAGAGCTCTAGGGTACTGGACAGACGGCGGAGTATGTGCCTGTTCATATATGTTTTTGAAAAATTCTGTATTGCATGCATACATACATACATACATACATTAAAACCAATAGAGCAAAGTCAATCAGGCAGGTTCAGAATTCACTTCCGAGTGAAATTCAATGAAATTCCCTTTAAATTCAAATTAGCAGGGGTGGAAATTCACTCGGATGTGAATTGCAGAACCTGCCTGAATATTTTTAATTGGCACTCATAAACATACATATGTACATTAGACTGTCCCAAGAATATATGCTCAAAAATTTGTTTGCAACTTTTAATATGCACACCCTCTATATTTGTGCTTTTTAGCCTAAATGGCATATATATACAGTTTTATGGCCGTAGGATAACGACAACCTGGGCCGACATTTAGTTGAAGTTTCAGTTAATAACTTGAATTAATCGTCCATGAAAACTTTGGAAATGCGAAAAATTTTATATGTTTAATTAGGAGGTGCCGGGTATCCGGTAGATATCCGGAATCCGGCTTATCCGGCCGTTTTTCTGTTATACGACTACCCGGCCGGATACTGGCTAAAATCCGGCCGGATTTCCCGATTATAGA